TTCTACTTTCTACCATCAAAATTGGAATAATTTTGACCATCAAAATCACCAAACCAATTTGGGCTGCATGTATACTCCAGAGCCATGTGCTCCTTCCTGAAAATTTAGTTGTATTACTTCCTTTTCAATTTTATCTTTATTGTACACAACTGCTTCATGCAAGTAATTTAGAATTCTTGTCCATTTGTCTGTGTATTTGAAGGAATTCTTGATTGCTGTAACCCTGTCTAATTCCTCCTGAACTGGCTTAAAAATATTCAGGAATATACTAGTTTAAAAACAAATAGGATGTCAAAAACCCATGCAATTATGCAAAATTAATAAATGTATATTATTTAATGCAAATAAGAAGCAAATATTTTTTATTTTATTAGTAATAATTTTATGTACTTGCTTTTTTCTTTAGTCGAAAGGCTTTTCCCTTGGAAATTCGCTAAGTTTTTTTTATATTGTTTGTTTATTGTTATATTGTTTGTTATATTGTTCACATTTTTCATCGTTTTTTTTATAAAAAATTTTTTTATAGTTCTTTCGATCCTGCTTTTCTCTTGTCAGTTCTCTTTTCTCCCAGTAAGAGTAGAACTGTGGACCGATACCCTTTTGAATTCCTTTTAATCCCACTTCTCTGATCTTTTTGATCACCGGATTTGATCCCCGGCTAACATTCATTTTTATGAATTTTTAAATTTTCCCTTTCCTGTTCTAAATTTTGTTCGACTATCGTTTTCTTTCTTTTTACTGGTTTCTTGGCAATTCTTCCAGTTTATCGAAAAGAATTGTCATTGTTAGCTGGCAGGTGGCCACCTTTTGGTAAGTTTTTATAATATTTTCATAATCCCGAGAACAAAATTATAATTTTAATAATAAAATAAATTTTGAAATATATATTTAATATTTGTATTTATTGATTTGTATTTTATTGATTTGTATTTTATTGATTTGTATTTATTGATATTTATAAAAATAAAATCCAAATATTATAATTATTGCTACAGTGAACCCTCCCTAAGTGCACCCTCCCTAAATGCACGCACTATGTATACCCTCCATAAATGCACGGCCCATCTCATCCCCAAGCTTATAGAGAGCTTATAAAATCACCCTCCATAAATGCACACCATCCATAAATGCACGCTCACAAGAAATAGCACTATGTTCCCGAGGGGGGTGCACTTATAGAGGGTTCACTGTATTTGCACATCCAACCCTAAGCTAAATCAGCAAAGATTTTTGCTGTAAATCACTAACATAAACTTCGTGATGTCTCCCTTCCAGATATCACGCAAAAATTGCAAGAAGTACATATCTATTGTATATTTAATATTAATAATAACAAAAAACTTACAAAATGACGTTCTACTATTTAGGCAACGGAAATCACCTCGGGTCCTTGGACCTCTTGGTATATATATAAAAAGATTGAAGTAGGATAGTGCATTCTTACCAACGGTGTAGTCTGGTTGGTACCTTTTAAAGGATAGGTGATTTATGCAAATGTATCACCTGAATTTTGTAAACTAATATGGGTTCTCGCAATCTTATTTCGGTAGGCATTATAAAGGATGACGATTTTGTGGTAGCTATTACAACCATATTTTTCTGAATCAATAGAATTGACTAGGTCTATGCTGCATGTATTCAAAGAAATTGAAAAGAGACCCATGGCTGAATCAATTGATATGATTTCGTTGTGAATTTGCGTCAATTATTAATTAATTTTTGGGGTAGGACGTTTGGATACAAAATTCTGATTGGTCAATTTGAAATTCACGCACAACAATTCTATCTGTTACTGGGTGTGGAGATGGTGATGGTGATGGTGATGGTGATGGTGATGGTGATAGCGATGGTAATGGGTATGTGGAGAAGGATGATAAAGATCATTCAACGCATGGAAATGAAATGGATATGGACCATGAAGATAAAACTTGAATTTAATCATTCATTTCGAAAACATGATGTGTTTAACTTTAAAGTGGAGAATGAGGTTATGCAACTAGGAGCTAATTATAAGGAAAGATATTGAAAAAACTTCCTGAATATATTATAATTATCTTATTAAAAGACAAGGACAGGTTATCTTGTTTTTTTTAAACTTCTCATTTAAGAATTCAAATAGTTTATTCGTCATCTTGTTATCTTTATCAATATTACTATACAGTCATCATTCATTACCTTTATCAATATTTCACGATAGTCATTATCTATATTCTATGATGTTGATAATTTAACACAAGTTTCAAATTTTTAGCAATGATGTTAATGAAGATATTACACCTATCAAGCGTTGTAGATCTGTTTTTTGAATTAACACAATGTTGTACGATAAGGATTATTATTAATAGCAGTAATATTAACTGCCTTTGATTTTGATCCCATCCGTAAACTGCACTGAATTTTCTTCAAATTTGGTAAAATTGTTAAATCCACATTTAGAAAGTAACCGTAACACGGTAACTGTTATTCTCAAATCTCATTAAAACATTAAAACACCAAGTCAAATTTTATATTTTATAATTTTATAATGTCACATTCTAACTGGTTATTCTCATTATCATCAGAAAGAAAAGAATTTGTATATAAAATTTATAATGAAATGTATAATAATGCAATGGTCAATTCTGATAGAGAAAGTAGAAAGGATTATTTTTTTTTCATTGGTCAAAAAAAAACAAGGAACTTCTGAAAATGAAAATGAATTTTGTAAAGAAAGGTTTATTTATAATTTTGAATTAGATAATGCAACATATAAAGAAGGTAAACCAAAAGAATGTAACAAGTGTAAATTGACAAGATACTCTGATAGATTCTGTGAAGGTTGCATTAGATTACGATTACAGAGCACCACTTTGACATCTGGAAATAACATAATTGATGATTTTATTCAACAATGTCAAATGAAATCATCTCTGCCAAACTATATTTTAGAATGGATACCTTTTGAGCAATTTAAAAAAAGTAACAAAGTTGACTGAAGGTGGATTTAGTTCAATTTATACTGCTACATGGACAAGAGGACTAATAATTGATTATGATGAAAATAAAAAGGAATTTAGTTATTTTGGAAGGCGAAAAGTAGTATTAAAAAGTTTAAATGATTCAAGTAATCCAGGAAAAGCCTTTTTTGATGAGGTTGGTAGTTGTCATTTAA